GCTTATGGCAGGGGGGTTGGAACTAGATGATTTTAAGGTCCTTTCCAACCCTAACTATTCTATGATTCTATGATTTCAGCTGATCAGGGAGTGGGTTTATTGGAAAGTTTACACTTGGAAGCAGACAATATCTCTAATTCCATGGACGAATTACCATATAAATGCAGCTTTAAAGACAAGCAACACTGCTCATCCAACCCAGCAATGGATTTCACAAACTCATGCCTGAGATCGGCATTGTCCTGATCCAATTCACAACTGTTTCATGTTGTATACAGTCATTTCACTTGCAAAAGAATTACCATGGTGCACAAAAATCCGTCACTTGGCTCAGCTACTCCAGATTCTAGAGCTTTTTCAAAATGGTGGAGTTAATATATATATTTTATTATTATTATTTGTACATATTATTGACATGCCATGCAAGTGAGTATGGTATCCATACTCTGTGCTGTACCAAACAATGGCACTAAGCCATCGTTGCATTGATATGGTTCAACTGATGCATCCTTTCACATGTACATGTGCAAAAACCAACCCGGTTCCTTACAGCATGCAGATGTTGCAGAAGAGTGTGTTTGCAAAGGGCAAAGACCCAAAGCCTGGAACATTTTCAGATCTTTAAATCACTCTTTTATTCCAAACTAAAAAACTATTACTTCTTAAATGACTTGGCCATTTTTAACAGGGTAAGATCAACAACATTCTCCTCCAAACTCTTATTTTCCTTCTGTTTATTTCTGCAATCCCCAAGGCCAAGACACAAAGAGCATCCAGCTGCTTACACCCATATTTTACAAAAGCTTTCTCCTCTCCTAAATTCAGCACTTTAACGAAGTGGTATGAAAATCCATGAGAGCTAATTCCCAGGTTCTTTAGGTAGTGAGATAGCACAACTGTTATTTAAGGAAAGGAATAGGAAGAGTATCACCTTTACACAAAATGACAAGTTCTCTTCTGATGTTATCATAAAATCAGCAAAAATTAACCTTCCACACCATCCAGGGATAAAGATAATAGTTGTTCTAACCAAGCACAACATTTTGGTATCCTTTGGAGTTACAAGTGGGTTAGAGCATTTCAAAATAAAGCAAGACAGCAAGGAAAGTTTGTGGCCACCCATATCCGCATCAAGAGGTATTGAACACAGGTCTTGAACACTTAAGGCAAGCACAGAACAAGTTGGCTCATTGAAATGTAGTAATGCTTTATAGCCTGCTGGAGAGCAGAGCAGCTCTCCTAAGAACTTATTTCATGCTTTTGCATGGATTTACAGAATTGGATCTGGCCCTGGACCATGTGGACTGAGAACTACAAATGTTCCCCAGATGATACTGGCACAGTAGCGACTCACAGAGGACACAGTGCTTTTGCTAAAGGGTCTTAACAGCAGATAGCATCAACAGCTTCACAAAGACCTAGATAAATGTGTGGATAATAGGTCCATAAATAGATACTAGAGGGATGAGATGCACCCTCCACCATCTCTAAGACAACCTTTGTGGATGCTGGCAGGGCAACAACAGATAGCAAAACACAGCAAGCTAACTCAGCATCTCCTACAGTCACCACCTGAACCAGAAGGGTGGGCTCACACTCAAGTTTCTTATACAGATATTGGAACAGATTTTGGGAGCACCACGGAATTTATATGGGGGAGCTGAAGTTGCAGAAATGGCGACACTGACTGGCGGGTTTGCTTTCCACCTAGAACTGCTTTGCAATCTTTCACGTTTTAATAACAGAAACAGTATTTTCAGTCCATTAGACCTGAAGCTGAAGAGCAGGGGAATAAACCCAGCATTAAAAACCTCATTAGAAGTGGATCTTTAGGCGTGAAGGTTATGGGAGAGAAAGGCAAGGCTCACCTCCAGCAAGTCTGACACAACAGGCAGTATTTCAGGGTTACAGATATCGATGGAGTCATCCCTGTAAGTCTTCTTTTTGTAACGGATGTTTCCCAGGTGAAGTATCGCCGACAAGAGAGAAAAAATCCTAAAGAAAATAGTGAGAATTAATTTTCACTCACTTGTTCTTTCAGAAAGCTTATGAAAAAAACAAACCATATCCCCCAAAATCCTGTGCCAGCTTCGGATTTGAATCATTATTCAGATTTTCAATTCAAAGCAGTTTTTGCCCCAAATCCCCAAATGTTTCCTCAAAACTGATGCTCAAATGAAGCATCCAGTTTGCCTCATATAAAATATATTTTCACTTAGTCAAGTACCTTGCATTGCTATGGCTTTTTTGAAAATTATTTAACACATCACAGAATCCCGGGGTGGGGGGAAAGAAGGCAGAAATTTGGTAATTTTGAAGTTAGATCCTTACTCCTCAAAAGAAAAATAGCCATTTGAGACGATCGAGTCATGGCTGACTTCAGCTATAAACCTGTTTGTCCCTATTTCTACATTCTCTGGGGAGCTAAAAATGAACAAAATCAAATTTGATTCCTAGCCATGCCACCAGCTTGTCTGGACAAGACATTTTCATGTCTCCAAGCCAGTCCTTCATTATCTCTAAAATAGGGATACTGATTCCTTATCATTAATTACAAGGATGCAATTATAAGTATTTCACTTCTGTAACTGCTTCCACAAAAGTGAACCCCAATTTTTTGCTATAAACAATAATTTATTAAATATGGTAATACTTAAAATGTCCTTCCTTTCTTTACTCAGCTGAAGGTTGTTATTTATTCGTGTTACAGTCATAGAACACCAAGCAGAATAAATCCATTCGTATAGCAAAGAATCCTCTGAATTTTCTGACAAGCAAACTCCACTCAGAGAAATACAAGAACTTGTGTGCCAAGAAAAGTTATTGCACAGTAAATCGAAAGTGTGAATTTACTGTGACATCCAACTCTGCTCAGTCCTGACAATTACTGATTGCTTCACTCTGTCAGTTAAACTCCCTTAGTGCTCCCTAAACAGGCTTCAGAAAAAACTTGTCGCTCAAACCTGATTCTGAAAAGGTAAGGAGGCACGCTGACATGGAACAGATTGATATTGGAAGTGGGTGTATCCATGTGTGTGGAATGGATAGAGAAAAAGCAGTCTTAATTACATAATTGATTTGTTCCAAAGATGAGCTTATGGAAAAGATTCAAACGAAGACAAGCTGAGAAAATTTGGGCTGTACAGTCTGGAGAAGAGAAGCTGTGTGGAGACCTCAGAGCAGCTTCCAGTATGTGAAGGAGGCTACAAGGATGCTGGAGAGGGACTTTTCATCAGGGACTGTAGTGATAGGACAAAGGGTGATGGGTTCAAACTTAAACAGGGGAAGTTCAGGTTGGATATAAGGAAGAAGCTCTTTACTGTGAGGGTGCTGAGGCGCTGGCACAGGGTGCCCAGAGAAGCTGTGGCTGCCCCATCCCTGGCAGTGTTCAAGGCCAGGTTGGACACAGGGGCTTGGAGCAACCTGCTCTAGTGGAAGGTGTCCCTGCCCATGGCAAGGGGTTGGGACTGGGTGGGCTTGAAGGTCTCTTCAACACAAACCAGCCTGGGATTCTATGATTCTCATCTGGGTGAAAATTTCTTGATGGAGCAGAAGGCAGGACAACCTCTCACAGTTAAGTGCTTCTAACTGCTGGCTCAGATATATGTTGAAAAGCAAGAAAAATGGTGCTTAAAAGTATAGGAGGTAATCCACCCAGTCCAGAAGAAAACTAAAAAAAAAATAATAATTAGAAGTTTAAATGTCATTTACCCAAGGTGATGAACAGGGTTTCAAGTGCCATTAGTACAAAGCAGCAATTCTCTCTTCCAACATAAACCTCCAGGATTTCAGTCAAAAAGGGACCACATTCATTAAATTCTTGTTTGAACATTTTAACTCAAAAAAGCACAAGATTTCTCACTGTATTCCAACTACTAACGTGCTTTTCAGGAGTACTTAGGATGTCAAAATCATATTCACTTTGAGGTTAATTCTTCTGCCAAATTCATTCAAACCTACTCAGGACTTTCAAGCCAACAATCAATATGAGAGGAATTAATTTGTGGTTTTGGTTGAAGCCAACCCTCATATGAAGCATGTAATTCCTTGCAGTCAGTGGAAGGTGCTATTAGCAACCCAACCAGTTTTTCAAACAGCACTTCCACTGAATTAGTGAATGAAGGCCAGTTGGAAATGAGTCTACAGAATCAGGAATTATACGCAAGGGATTAATTATGACTAATAATCAGGATTTCTGATTAAACCAGGATCTGGATTCATGACATGCAGAGAAAGGCATGACAATTCATGGTGCCAACTTCTCGCCAGTGCTCCATTTGCATAAAGAGAACTGTTAACTACAGTAAAGACAGGCAGTTTGTTGTATGAATGGTCAAGTGGTTCAAAAGGTTTGTGTTGGAAGAGACCTTAAAGCTCATCCAGTTCCAACCCCCTGCCACGGGCAGGGACACCTTCCACTAGAGCAGGTTGCTCCAAGCCCCTGTGTCCAACCTGGCCTTGAACACTGCCAGGGATGGGGCAGCCACAGCTTCTCTGGGCACCCTGTGCCAGCGCCTCACCAATTATTCCTTCTCACCAGTCTGATAAGTTATATAGAGCACCACAGTTATGGTAGCTCAAGGCAGGTGAATTATCTCACTGATTATGGAGGATGGTGAGGTCCTGTCACAGGTTGCCCAAAGAAGTGGTTAGTGCCCTATACCTGGCAGTGTTCATGGCCAGGTCGGAAAGAACCTTGGGTGACACAGTCTAGTGTGAGATGCCCCTGCCCATGGCAGGGGGTTTGGAGCTAGATGATCTTAAGGACCTTTCCAACACAAACTATTCTGTAACTCTATGATTAATAGAATATTCAAGCTATTAATATGGAAACTAAACTCACTGTCTGCGAGTCTTGGGAAGAAACCCCACCATCTCCATGGCTAGTTGTAAGCGCTCAAAGTCATGCTTCAAGTCCTCCCCTTCCACAGAAAAGCAGTCCTGTTGGGTACAAACAGCAAGAGTAAGCATTGAGAGTCATTAAGATGAGAACAGGTCCAGATGGCCAAGTCAACACTTCATAAATATCATTTCGTGATCTCCATGCGTTTTATCAGCAGCTAGAATATTTCCAATCTGGCACTGGGAAATGAGATACCCAGAAGGTCCCACTGACATTTTGGGGAGTAACTGTGGCTAATTACACCCGACACCCAACCCAGGGGGACTCATAGGTACAGCAAGAAACACATACGTAGCATCATAAAGGACCAGGATTATCTCCAGTGGGAAGGAAGATTTTTCCTTCTTAAATACTAGAAATAGAACGTACGAGCTGGATTTTTGAAAATATTCTTTTTTAAAGTTTGATTTTTTTTTTTTTTTTTTTTAATTTAAACAAAGCTGTTGAGGAGAATCTGCTTCTACAAGGACTCTAGGGAAAAGCTGACCAGAGTGCAAGTTTCAATACAGTATTATTCATCATATACACAAATGGTTTTCTCTGTACTGCATTTTTATCCAGCACAGTGAGACAGTCTTTCAAAGGACACTACATCTCCTCCATAAATCATAGACTGGTTTGGGTTGGAAAGGACCATAAAGACCACCCAGTTCCAACCCCCTGCTGCAGTTTGGTTTCAATAGCCTGACCTCAGAGAGGACTGTGTTGATATAACATCTCCAAAATTCGGTTTTAATAGGGAACTCACATAATTTCATGTAAAATATCAGTGAATCAAGTCCTGCAAAGGAAAGTTTTAAATATACTTTTCACTAACTTTATTCTAAGTACCACAAAGTTTTCTAAAAATGTGAGCACTGAGAGAATTTGAAACCCACATTTTATATTTCCATGTCTATACACGTTTGCACATGTGAACAGTTGAGTTTTACAGATAATCCCAACCTGACAGCAGTCACTGATACGTTCACGAAAATCCAGTGACATTCTAGACCCAATAAATATTGTTCTGTACCAATATTTAGGGAACATAAATGCTCCTTAAATGAATACATAAACTCTTAATGCCAAGTTCCTTCTGCTTTGGCTCACCATGGGATGATTCTGATTATTCCCTCTTGCTTCATAGACCATCTTTAATACTTTTTCCTATTACTGCCTATAAAAATTCCCAGTCTCTGAATCAAAATGATTTTATTGGGCATCACATGATATAGTGCTATCTTAAACCTCCAAATATTTTACTAACACCTAGACAGAGACTTTTTACAGGTTAATCCAGGCAGGTTATTTAAAAACTATAGCTGCAGTTGCAGTGACGATTGATTGAGCAGCTGTATCCACGTATTTTCTTCTGGTCGTTTCCCTGTAAATTGTATTTACCCCATGAGCAAGTGTGCACAAACTTTTGCCCAGATAATTCTGAAAGTCAGCACTAACCAGGGCTATGTGAATACTACAGTGAACACCATTAAACAGGTACTAAGTAGTCACAAGGTGACAACTGTTACTTGACAAGACACTCGTACTCACAGTACATAGAATAAATCAAATATACAGAATATATAAAGTTATTTTATAGTAGCAGCTTTGTGCCTTCCACATTAAAAGCCTCATAACTCTATCAGTGACAGAGTTTTCATCCCACTCCTTATCATCATTACAGCAACAGCTGATTAAAGGGGGAAATTCTTAGTTAGGATATATATTTCAATATAGGAGACTCCTCACAACTGCCCTGTCGACTGAAAGCTAGAGAAGGTCAACTGGTCAAGAAAACATTTTTTTATCAATAACAACTTAATACTGCACAGACAAAGTGAATTTAGAGATGTCGAACAGTAAGAGCATTTAAAAGCAAGCGCAGCATCAATGAACATCAGGTTTTAAATGTAACAAGAAAATAACATGCCTGAGTGTGACACTTTCACCTTTTATTAATAAATGATTAAAAAATTACCCTTTTTAGGTAATGTATAAAGGTGTCTGTACATATCCAAAGGAATGCAGCAAAGACACACTATGTATCAGTAAGACCAGCAGGCATGAGCAATGCAGTTATTTACACCATAAAGTATAAGGGTAAGAAGTTGTCCCTCCTAAACTCGACCTTGACCAACCGGCCAAACTTAAGTCACAAGTCAACAGCAAAACCCCACAGACAACTCAGAAGCAGCACGATCTATGCTAAAAGCAATTTAATTAATACATAACAATTGCCAAACTCATCGATCTGCATGGAAAGGCCTTTTGCAATTTATCTGCTAAAAAGAGGATGCTTTCTGTAGTGTTTCAGCCCTGTTTGGTTCCTAATGGATGATCAATGGACGAAAATTATAAAAAAAAGGAGTTTCTTTGACATTAGGGCAGACAAACATGACAAATCCATGCCCGCAGACCAAATTCATTCATACTCTGCTGGGGCAATTAGTTTCCCAGTAGAAGCAATTCCCCTGCTTACTATCATCACATTGGAGCAACCATGGATTTCCAGGGGAAGTTTGAAGAGGATATTATAAATAGGTTTTTTTATAAAGCAGATTTCTGCAAGAGGTTGAGTCCATGATTATGGGGAGAGGACTAGGGTATGCTTAAGAGTAAATCAGCTGAAGCCAAGATGTGATTTACCATGAATATTACCAAAAATGATCCCAAGCAAAATAAAATACAAGCCAAATTGTAATGGCACGCAGTTTTGCTGTGCAAAATAAGGACCTATAACATGGTAATCCCTGAGATGGCAGGGCATGATCAGCTCATGACCTGCAGCAGAAAGCATTAAATTTGGGATTTGTTTTATTTTGGAATTCCACCAGTGAATTGTCCTAATCCAATCCTTAAGAGATTCAGGTCTTTGCAACTTCATAAAGTGTACTGAGGTATATGGAAGAGCATCTGCTCTTCACTGCCCACTCTTGTAAGACCTCTCAGGGTGCTGATGTATTAATGATGCCAACATTTTTAAACCCTGAGGGGTTAAAGTCCTTTTCCCTCCTCTCCTCCTAAGGATTTTGCAGTGAAATCATGCTGTTAACATGCTTATTTAGCCTGAGTGAAACTCAGCCCCTTCACACATTACCTTTTACTCTTCAGATGCAACAGCTAGAGTTCAGCAACCATTAAGCACATGGAAAAATTAGCAGGAACAACATGCAGCTGATGTGAAACGTGCTTCCCCGTGCAAGACAAAACTAACAGAGACCATCACAGGACACACAGACACCCAAAGCACATCTCCGACTGAAGCCACTGCCTCCAACTCAGTTACACAGGACGAATGGGGAGAAGCTTCATCATTCCCTTTTTTTGGGTTCATCCGTTTGGAAAGGATGATCATGTCACCAGAACTATTTTAGGAGGAGGGCTTGGTTTTGCATTCTGAATAATACTAGGATTTTATTTTCTCCCAGATGGTTGAGGGAGATGTTTTGGGGTTTGTCTCTTTTTCCCTCTCTGAAAGATGGAGAGCAGATACACTGCTACAACCATCGTGAACTGATGGGTTTCAAGAGATTGAATTGCTGTTTTATCAGAAAGGAATTTCAAATTTCACATTGCTGCCATATCACAATTTCCATAAATCATCACATATTATATCAAGAAGGAAGGAAAAACCCCCATAGTTTGCTAAAACTAGGTGACTATATCCAACTGTTGAAGCTTTCCAGATGGAAGGAACTGAAAAAGGGCAAGGGAAATACATCTATATTGTTATGAGCTAATACACAAGCAACACCACTGCAGGGCAGAGGAAAGGAGGGGGTAGTTAATAGGTTAAATGCATTTTGACTTCGTTTTCTGCTTAGGTCTTGGTGCACCTAACGAATTCAAGTGAGGAGCACAGCCCTGCACCAGCAACACAGAAGACATGGGTACTTGTACTGACCGGCTCAGAGTCATAGCAATAATCATCCCAGCTCTGTCTGAGGGGTTTCTTTGTCATCTGAAAGCAAGGCAGACCAGGTTAAGTAGTGTTCAGACCAAAGAGAACTCCCACTAACATACTCTTTAACCAGGGCAGCAATGTCAGCCTTCCAAGTAAAATTATTGTTGTTATTCTGGATAGTCACTCCTTACTTTTGTTTTCAAGCTAAGATTAATAATGCTTTTGTATTCATGGCGCTCTGATTCCTGCATCCCATGTTTTCAAGACACATGCTTTACGGATTTTAAGATCTTTTTCCCCACGGTTGGAGAACCCTCTAGTTTACCCAAGAGCTGAAGAGCCATTGATGGAAAAATCCTACTGACAAGCAGAATTCTTTGGTTTCTACTCTCAACCTCGGCTCTAGACACATGTAAGTGCTGCAAAAGTGCAATCCTCCAACAGATTAGAAAGCAACACTTGAAAGCTTGGTAGGAATTTGGTGAGGCACTGGAATAGGTTGCCCAAGGAAGTTGTGAATGCTCCAACCCTGGAGGTGTTCAAGGCCAGGCTGGACAGAGCCTTGGGCGACATAATTTAGTTTGTGGTGTCCTTGCTCATGGCAGGGGGGGTGGAACTAGATGATTTTAAGGTCCTTTCCAACCCAAACCATTCTATGATTCTATGATTCTATTCTATAATTGGTATCTTTATTTCCAATCAGACAAGAGATGGAGTTGAGAAGTCAAAGTATGTGTTAGTGACCAGTCCCAAGAGGGAGAGACACATGGCACCAGAGCTCCTGATGAGCTTAAACTAAGGGTCTAATCATGCAAATCACTGATTTCAATATGGTTAAATGTGAATAACCAGCACAGAGAACAGTGAGCAAGTTACAGGGTAGGCAACAGCAGGTTCACCTGCCATTGGTTTGAGATATGGAGCAGTTGTCCTAACTCAGGGGATTAAAGTTGGGATTTTTTTCCAAAGCATTTACAGATCCAGAACAAAACCACCTCATTTTGGTGAAATACCTGCATAGATTATTTCTCATCTGCAATGTAAAACACACGTTTGTTTTGCATAACATGACGTGTGCTGAGGAACCAGGGAGAAGAAAAATAATGTCTGACTCAAGGACCAAGTGAGCCCTTGACTTGAGGGGCCTGGGTCAATATTTTGTAGCTTTTCCATTTTACTATTTAATTTGTAGTTACACACAAGTTTATTTCTGAGCTCATTCTTTGCCTTTCTAAAATAAAAGGGATTTCTCAAGGACACATTTAAGAAGCTACTGCAAATGCTCAAGGGCTATTTCACAATTTTTCCCCTCTTATGCTTCCAAAGTTTCTTTTCCCATTCCTCCACTACCTCTTTTTCCTTCTTTTTCCATATTTTCCTTTCTCCCCTTTGCCTGTTAGGGCACAGGAAAGCTGTCACTGCAGTTTTAATACAAAACGATGCCCTGAACACATGTAAAGGTGACATTTCCCATAGTTGTCAATGTTAAATGGTCTCTTTAACACTAATTACTAAAAATATTAAAATCATTATAATAAAATCCCTAAAAATTCAGGCTATCACTAGTGTCCAAACACTGTATTCAGGCAAGTTCAGAGTCTGCTTCCCTGCTGCACAGGATGCAGCTCAGCACCCTTCTCCAGCCTATTCACCCACAGCATCCTAATTTAGATTAAAATACATGTTTCAACCTAAATGATCTCACTTTTACTGATTCTACACTCTACATGGATTTATAATTTGACTTGAAATATGAACACCCTTAAAGTGGTATTAAAACCCCAGAAGGACTCTAATTAAAAGCAATGTTTTCAACTAACAGAAAACTATCGGATTGCCCAACAAAACCTGTGAATCTAAAACATTGGATCCAAATGATCTTGGCTCCTTCCTACTGCAAAACAGCAGCACAGATGGTTGAGCAGATCCCATCACGTTCTCCAGCTAATGCCTGAGGCACAATGAGGACAAGCAAAAAGCCTTCAGCTCTAAGTATGTTACTCATCTGTGCAAATTTCCTGATGCTGCTAAGAGTGACTGGGAGTTGTTAATATCACAATACTTTTTGGCTTTGATAACCTGCTTTAAAAGATCTTTATAAAGCCGCAGGTAATTGAGGCATATTCCAGTGTTAAATTCTATTTCTAGGAAGAGTAAAGGCTATTTGGATTGTGTTGTACATAAAAGTGTCTCTCCAGTTTACGGGTTAAATCATGTTCCAGCTCCAAGAAAATGGCAATTAGTTAAAAATCCAGTTATAACCCAACTACTCTTCCACATATTCCTACTCCTTTTTTACTTTTTTTGAGTAAAAAGCAGTAAAATTCACCAGCATCAGTGGACAAGTGCATCTTAAATACCTGCAGTAAATCATGTTTTCCAAAGTATGAGCTTATTGGGCCATTGGTAACTCCTCACTCATTTTTAGTTCCCACAGTTTTAATGGTTGCTGTGGTTTTCTTGAGATTAAACTTCTATTGTTAAATTCAAAGGGTCATGCTCACAGCCAGCCATGGAGCTACAGGATTAGGACTACCTCATGCAAGGTGTTATACCCCGAAGAGCTACTAGTATCATCATACATCTTCCCCTTTTCGCCTACTCAGCAGACATGTTAATGCCTAGATGACATTCACACACGTAACAGGTAAATCATTACCATTTCTGCCTTTGACAATTAAACCCACACTATATTTCATGCTTCCTAGCTGGGGGACAAAAATGAAAAATACCCATTTTTATATTTTAATGCCACATTATCAGGTGTTCAGATTGCCAATGCAGAATTATTTCCAATAAGAAAAGCTGCCTGTTGAGCATTAAGACAACCCATTTGTTAGTTGTCTACTACTCCACACATTGTCTTTATTAGCATTAAGTATCAGTAGTAGAAAAGGCAAGACCATGTACTGTATTTCTGTATAGTATTCCCACCTGGTTGAGGTAATGATATTCCTCAGGTTGCTTCAGGTGGAATGCTGATCTCTCTTCCTCGCTTGCTCCTGCCAGGAGGTAATAAAATACATGGTAGTTCCTGGTGATAAGTAAAAGAAAGAAAGATGTTAGACTTCAACCTAAACAGCAGTGTTCAGCAGAGAAGCACATGTGAACCTCAGAACCTGATTTTCCAGCTTCCAAACTCAGACCTGAACACTGGAAATGGAGTCACTCTTACATAACTTTGCTGTGATGTAAAAGATGTAATGAAGTAATAGAGAATGAGATCTCTCTTTTCCATCCAAGGACATCCACTGCCCTAGAATGCACTTAATGAATTCCTAACTGACATCATCACATTTTCCTTCAGTAACATGTGCAATGCCTACATATTGATTAGAATCAAAACAACGTATTTCCTTGCAATGCAGAAATGATGATGATTATTTTTAATACCTTATTATCATGTAAAAAGCAATAATTTTGCAGTTGCCGTTCCGTAAGACAGTGGTAAAAGCCTCAATTTTTATGGCTACTTAAATATTCAAAATACTTGAATATTACTAATACTAAACCCACCCCAGTGACACAATTCGCTTCAAGACAACTCTAACACAGCTTAATATTAAGAGCATAGCAGCAGATATAAACTTAAACCTTTGCTTTTATGCTGGATCTTTTCCAAGATGAACCAAGTTTAATCATCTTGCAACACCCAAGAGTACATTTGTCAAGGCAGAATGTGCTATTTAACGTCGGGATCAGCCCCTGAGCATTCAAGAAAACTTCTCACACATCTGTCTCAAAAGGGAAACAAAGAAGTGCCAAAGGTTCGAAGACAACCAGAAGCCGCAAATGTATTTAAAATGAGAGTAGTAAGTGCGGAGAGAGGAGCATGTAACCACTCAGATGTTGCAATTAAGAAAGAACAATGTGCTTAAATTTGTTGTCTGTATAGTTTTAGCTTTCTCTAGAGGCCCTTCTGATAGCTTCAATGTGTCAAGAACTGTAAACAGAACTAAAATACCATCTGCCCAGCAAATTCTATATCAAATAGCTTACGAGTTGCACAAGGAAACAAACACTATGTAGCATTCCATATGACATGACTCATAAAGATAATGGAAAATATAAGTCAAGGACCATCAATAAAATAATGGAGTTTGTTTTCCCTGGTTAGCACATTCCTCCCTAAACAGCAAAATACAAAAAATGCATCATTTATCTTTGAAGCACAGGGTTAGGACCATGAAATTCCTGACACCCACCCCCCCCAGGCCAGCTTCCCTTAAAACAGAGGTTTAAGCTCTCAGTGTCATGCTATTGGTACATAGAGAACTCAAAACCAATCCTGTAAGCAAAATCCAGGCACCTACCGTTCATTGTGCTCCTGATAGACTAGTCTTGATTTCTCCAGGAGGTACTTCTCCACATAAGCTCTGGAAGGCAAAAATAAAAGCATTATTCATTGACCCAATATTTAACTGAAATGAACACAGCTTTACCAGGGCTTTTCAGGCTTGGTACGCACAGAAATCAGAAGTATTAGCCTCGTTTCACTTAGTTATATATATTTCTTCCTAGGCAGAACAAGCCCAATATTATGTTTGGCTTTTGAGGTTTTTTTTGGTTTGATACAAAGCCAACACTAACTTGGATATGAAAAACATGATCTCAGATGCATTAGCCTATGGGCAGGGAGCACAGGGGGAAATGCTGACAGCAAGTGAGACTCTCAGATACCTATTTAATCTGAAGCCAGCAAAATAGAACTGCTTGCAGACCAAGCATCTGCACACAGGAAACAGACCTGGGTACAAAGGTTTGCAGGATCACAATTAGCTGCAGAATCGGCCCCCAGGTCACCATGTCCTCTTCCAGAAGAGGCACTTCCCAACAAAAACCCGGGTTATAAACTTGTGGCTACAGTCAAAAAATAAACAATTGCAAAAGCCCCTGATTGGAGTTTACATTTTCTCCTAAGAGCCTCCACAACAAACATGCTTCATTTATATATTAGATACTTATTTTCAAGCTTGTAGAGCTAAAACAAGCTTCAACAGGTTTTTTCTTCCAAATAATACTAGCCAGTAATGATAGGGATTTAGAAACCAGAGTTCTGATGATGTAGCTATGCTTTTCCAGCTCCAGCTGCCCAGTGACGTGGCCATAACATTAGCAGCCACATATGAATCAAGAAATCCTCTGAACGTTGGGCATGGTAGGACAGGGAAGTGCTTCTATGATCGCGTCTTCACCAGTCTCCAGATTTGTTTATTACTTACATGTCAGTAATTCTCTCTCTTTTCACTGAATTGTAAAATAAACCAACGTGCTGATGCAGATTAGTGACAACTTTTACAGCAGCTCGTAGGAGAGGCTACTGGAAGAGGTAGGAGAGGTGGATCAGAGGGCTGGAGCAGCTCTGCTCTGGAGCCAGGCTGAGAGAGCTGGGCTGGGGCAGCTGGAGAAGACAAGGCTCCTGAAGGGAACACCTTAGAGCAGCTCCAGGGCCTAAAGGGGCTCCAGGAAACCTGGAGAGAGGCTTTAGACAAGGGCCTGTAGGGACAGGACAAGAGGAATGGCTTGAACCCGCCCGAGGGGAGACTGAGATGA